GTGGTGGCCGGCCGGCCGCGGCCGAGTGCGGCGCGTGCGGCGGGACGGGCACCTACTCGCAGCGATCGTCGGTGGTGACCATCAACTCGACGTGCAGCGCGTGCGGCGGCAAGGGGGTCGTGGTGGACGAGACGACCAAGTGCAAGTGCTGCCACCATGGCCGCGTCCACCAGACCAAGGAGCTCCGCATCGAGGTGCCGGCCGGCGTGATGAAGAACATGCGCAAGATCTACGAGGGCGAGGGCGACGTCGGCGAGTACGGCGGTGTGGCCGGCGACCTCATCGTCGTGTTCGACGTCGAGGACTCGCCCGTATTCACCCGCGAGGGCGACGACGCCACGTGCGACGCCAGCGTCACCTTCTTCCAGGCCGCCCTGGGCGCCCGCCTGGCCGTGCCGGGCCTCTACGGCCAGCTCCTGCGACTCGATATCCCCGCCGGCACCCAGCCGCACGACGTGCTGCGACTCGACGACGAGGGCTTCGTCAACGTCGCCACCCGCAAGCGGGGCCACCTCTACGTGCGCGTGGTGCTCGACATCCCCAAGGCCCTCACCCCGCTCCAGGCCGACCTCCTCGCCCGCGCCCAGCACCAGTGGGACGCGGTCACCACCACCACCGCCACCACCACGACCACCGACGCGCCCTACGACGAGCCCACGACGACGATGCCCTCCGAGGCCTCGACGGACTACTATGGTGATGACGTGACATCGTCGAGCGGCCTCGGCAGCGGCGACGGTGAGGTCCACGGCGGCGGCGGCTTCGATTCGACGCCACACCTGGCCGAGGGCGATGACGTGGGTGTCGGTGGAGGGCCGATGGTGGAGGAGAACAACGCGGGCTTCGGCTACAGCGACGATGCCACGGCGACAACGGGGACAACGACAACGACGATGCCGTTGCACACGCCAATGCCAATGCCGACGACCACGCCCGACGCGCCAACGATCATCGCCAACGGCCTGCACCATCATCACCACATTCATCACCACATTGCCAACCTCAACAACATCAGCATCGACATCAACGCGGCGGCGAACGGCGTCGGCGGCTACGAGTGCAGCTAGCCCACCAACCGCTCTCTTCAATCTTCTTCCCCTCTTCCTCACTCCAAGTTTCATGTACAATTTGTCCCATACCTCAGCAATCAACATATTTTTTTTGAACTTGTTTTTGCTTTATGAATTGATTCCGCGCATTATTTGGCTTTCTTCTTGGTCGCGACCGCCTTGGCCTTGTTGTTCGCCTTTTTCTTGCCGCCAGCAGCTGCGGGCTGTCGCTTGCGCTTGCCTGGCTCGCCGGCTCCAGCAGAGACGGACGCGTCGGACTTGGCGCCGTAGCGCTTGATGACGCGGCCCAGCAGCTCCTTCTCGGCCACGCGCAGCATCAGCGCCCACACCAGGATCGCCTTGCTCCCGTCGCTTTGCTGCGCTCGTATTACGCGTGTGCGGTGAGGACAAGGAATGCAACGTGTGTGCGGTGAGTGTGTGCGGAATTGGAGGGGAAGGAAGACGCACGGCTTTGGCGAGCGCCCGGCGGTCTTCCTCGAGGGTGGTGGGCGGGTAGAGGCCCAACCGCGCACGCGCCAGCGCCACCAGCATCCCACGCACGCACTCGTCCGCCGCCAACTGCTCCATCGACGTGGCACGACACGCACACGACGCGACACGACACGAGCGTGAGTGCGCCGCACACAACACATAGCACGACACGACACGCGCGAGTACCTGCCGCTTGTCGATGGAGCGGAGCTGCTTGTAGAGAAGGGCGGGCTTGGCCTTGGCCATCTTCACGCAGGTGGCCGGCGGCGCGAAGAGGACGAAAAGGACCCACAGCAGCTCCCGCTCGGCCGTCCCGTTGTAGTGGAAGTTGTAGCACAGGTCCTCCCCAAATATCTGCGCGTGCGGTCGTGTGTGTTGTGTGTTGGTAAGGAATGTAGAATGTAGAATGAGGAATGCGCGGAATGTGGCATACCTTCTTGCGGCTCTGGCAGAAGGCGAGGCGCTTGTTGGCGGCCTCGGCGTTGCCCAGGCACTTGGCGCTCACCTCGCGGATCAACGCCTCGTCCACGCTCACCTTGATCAACCACCACGTGTCGCACGACACACACAACCACCGCACACACCACCGCACACACCACCGCACACACCATCGCACACAGCACACGCATTAGGTAGAGCGAAGGACGAAGGCCTCGCGTGAGCCCAGGCCCGACGTACGCAGTCGTTGAGGTTGGGGATCTCGACGAAGCCGTGCTTGTTGAGCAGCACCACGTTGGGCAGCGGACCGTAGGTGTTGTACACCTCCTCCCCCGCGGCCGCCTCCCGAATCTGCGCATGGTCAGCCAAAGACTCAGCACAGAGAAGAGAAAAGTGTGGGTGCGTGCCATGACGATGTCGAGGGCGTGTTTGGATTCCACCACCCCGTCGGGTCGGGGCCACTCTTCGTCTTCTTCTTCTTCGTCTTCCTCCACCTCTTCGACCATCTCATCTTCTTCGTCGTGGCTTCCATGCTCTTCGTGCTTCTGTTCTTCTTCTTCTTCCTCTTTCTCCTCTTTCTCCTTCTCCTTTTCTTCTGCCTTTTCCTCTTTTTCTTCTTCTTCCTCTTCTTCCTCGTGTTCGTCCTCCTCGCCCTCCTGCACCACACGGCATTGTCAGCCGCACACGACACACGACACACGACACACGACACACGACACACGACACACGACACACGACACACGACACACGACACACGACACGACCAACGACACGACACGACACGACACGACACACGACACGACCAACGACACACACGACTGACCTGGTGGCGGGTGTGGGGGCAGGGATCGGGCGACCCGCACACGGTGCAGACGTCGCCGTCGGACTGGATGTGGACGTGCTCGCGGCCCGTGTGGTTGAAGATGTCGGCCACCGGCAGCATGGCGTCGCCGTGGTAGGCGTCGACGCCGAACGCGCGCGACGCGATGAGCGACGAGGCCCGCTTGAACAGCTCGAACGACAGCACCTCGCGCCCGCCCGTCCGCTCACGGTGCTCGTCCGCGAACGGCCCCACCTGCATGTCGTAGTCCTCTTGCAATCGTTCCTGCGTGTGTGCGTGTGTGCGTGTGTCATGTTAGTACGACACACGACACGACACGACACGACACGACCAACGACACGACCAACGACACGACCAACGACACGACACGACCAACGACACGACCAACGACACACAGCACACGACACACAGCACGACACGACACGAGACACGACACGACACACACGCGTACTTTGTCGTTGTCGAGGATGTAGGTGAGTTCGGTGCCCTGGAGGGGCGCCAGTTCGGCCGGGTCCCAGTACATGGGCAGCGGCTCGAAGGCCGGGATGCACTGCAGGTACCCATACCACTTGGACTACAGATATGCGCGCGTGGAATTTCAGCTATGTGGTGGTGGTGGTTGAGGAATGCGCGAGGAATGCAGGGTGCAGTCACTGACCTTGGTGCCCTGGGACATTTCGTACATCAGGGCAATGGCGAGGCCCACGCTCTGCTCGGCCCAACAAACCATAAGCGAAGTGAGTGGCCAGCGCGTGTGGGAAGAAAATGATGGAGAACAGTACGCCGTAGAGCTCGGCGCCGGCGAGCAGGTCGGCGATGGCCGTGGTCTTGACGGAGAGCACCACCTCCTTGGGGATCACGCACACTGTGTGGCGGCACACGGCGCGCACACGACACACAGAACACGGCACACGGTGAATGAAGAACTTGAAGGGGATGCGTGGGTAGTAGAGCTCGGGGATGTACGGAGCTGGCCCTCCTTGAGCGGCTGCAGGGCGATCACGCCCAGCCCCAGGCCCTGGCCACGCAGCTGCGGTGGAACGATTCACCGCAAGCGAACTGTCAGATCATCGCACACACACACACACACACACACACCAGTTTCTGACGTGCGAACTCAAGGAGGGCGGGCGGGTTGAATACGTGAGGTCTGAAGGCGATGGCGTTGCGGTCCCACCACACCCGGTTGCGTTCCAGCCACGCCTCCAGCTCCGCCAGGCGTGCTGCCGCCTCCCTGGCCCAAGATGAATTTCATCGATTAAATTCATGAAAAGAATGGTGGAGATAGTGATTTTCAGCAGGGCGTACTCGGGAGAGGTTGAGCCGTCAATTCCGGTGTGCGTCAGCACGCTGGGCACCTCCTCCGCCGCTTCCATTCCAACAGATTTATAATTCTTCCACTCTGTTTTTTTAGATTTTTTTTCGTCTTTCGTTTTTTGCCATTTTTCTTCTCGTCGGTGGTGGCGCTCAGGCCGTGCTCGCGCCTGCAAGGCGCACCACGCAGAACCACCATACAACAATCAGACAATTGAATCGGTCCAATCATTGGGGAGGGAGTTGCCTTGTCGCTCTGCAGCACCAGTCGCACGAGCTCCGGGTCCTCCCCCTCGTGGTCCAGCTGCCAGAACTCGTCGTAGCTCAGGCCATCCGGCCCGCGCAGGGAGAAGTTGAGTCCCTTCGCGCGCAGGTACTCGAGCCACTTCGGTGGAAGCGGTTGCGCGGGCCAACGGGCTTGGTGGTCCATGATGTTGTGGTGCAGCACTGTGCGCCCGTCGCCGTCAACCTGGTTGATGTCTGCGCCGTGGTCGAGCAGCGCCTTGAGCTGGCCGCACCGGCCCACCTGCACGAAGTGGATGGCTCGCCTGGCCGAATCCTCGCCGGCGGGCAGGACGGAGTGCGGATACGGAAAGATCGAGCAGCAGCCGCTCACGCCGGAACCTCTTCCTACGCCACGAAGAGGGTTCGTACGACCGCTCAGGGTCGAGCAGCAGCGGCAGTGCCCTCCCTGCAGCCAACCAGGCCAACCAGTCAGTCAGCACTTTGCAATGCGGGAGCTGGAGTGCATGCGTGGGTACGTACCTGATGGTGCAGGGAAGGCCACTGGTGACAAGCGGCCGAATGACGGCGGGCGTGCTGTTGACGATGCAGCTGCTCATCGCCAGCTGCGCGCTGCAGCAGGCGGGTGGTGCACTGGTCGCCCCAGCAGCCAAAGACAACTCTTCGACACTTTCCTTGACTTCCTCCTCCTCTTCCTCTCTCTTTTCGTAATCATCACCACCGCCTCCTTCTTCCTCTTCCTCTTCCTCCTCTTCCTCTGCGTTCGAGTCCGAGTCCTAGGCCATAGCACGAGTGGCCAGCGGTGACCACCTGAGCTGCTGCTCGACCCTGATGCCCAGGGACTTGAGGAAGTCCAGGCGGACCAAATTGTCGAACCTGGCGACGGACGTACTCATCTGCAGAGCCTCCCTCATCTCCAACTCTCTTTCGTCATCGTACCGGAGCTGGCCGACAGCTCGAGCGAGCGCTTGGTACTTTGATTTACAGTCGGACTGTGCGCTCTTCTCGCAGAGTTGACGCAAGGTCGCACAGGTGTCCTGCCGATGGATGGCCAGGCGTGGGTAGTGGCAAAACAGCGACAGGGGTGTGTCGCCTGCTGCCGTCTATGAAAGAGACAAACGAACGGACAACATAAGAGCAGGAACGCGAGAGAGCGAAATGGGGGGGGGAGGGAATGGAAATGGCATGTTGGGATTAGCGCCACGAGCCAGCAACAGCGCCACAATCGGCGCTACCCACTGGGTGGATTCGGAGCACCCGAGAGTCCAGCTGAGGCAAGTCTCGCGGTTCTTGAGGATGACGTCCTCGTCTAACGTGATCAGCACCTTCACCGTGTCCACGTCGCCGCTCTTGACTGCCAACTGCGGGTCCCGTGAAGAGAGCAGGGCGTGTCGAGCAGATACGTCATCAGCTCCTCGTTCTGAGTTCTCACTGTGTGGACAGTGGACGAGAAAAGAGGAGTTAGCACACAGTGAGATCGCCCCTGCCTTTTGCACAACACACAACAGAACGGCATTGCCAAGACCGGTCGAGGCACCAGATTGAAAAAGAAGTTGAACCAGGCGTGCTCTGCGCAGGTACTGGCGTGGCGGTCACCTTGGGGTGCCACCAGCTTAGCTGCAAGAAGGCTCAACCAGCGCAGCACCCAGAGCGTCGAGAAGTTCAGTAGGCTCCAGGCGACCGAGTAGACGTGGCAGCATGCGATGGTTGCGGGTGGAAACCGGTTCGACGACGTGAGGTTGGTGACGCCCACCTGTTCCCAAAGATGGTGCGCTTGCAAGAGGAAGTTGCGCCAAGATGAACACACCGCCTCGCACCTCCCCAGTGACTCTGGGTCCACCCAGGCAAATACTGCAGTTGACATCTCCGCAGACCCAGGGTGCTGACGAAGTCACCGATCCGTTCCTCGTTCCCATCATCTTCGACCTTGGCCATGTTCGCTATCTGCGGGGAGGTGTTTTGTCGAATTCCGCGTTCCGAGGAAATTTCTTCTCTCGTTTCTTTTTAAAAAAAGAAGTAAAAGAAGCGCAATGGCGGAGACGCAAGAGAAGGAAGTACACCCGGTCGAGGTGCCGGCTGGAGGTGAGTTTGATCTGCCGCCTCTACTCCAGTACGGAAAAGCTCACCCTCAATCAGTGCAGCCATACTTTTCTCCCATCTTTTGTTTCTTCTTTAAAAGTGCATCTTCTACACGCGCTGGTTGTGGTCTGACTCTCGGTGTCACGGGGCAGGCTGCCTGCAGAGTTGGTGGTGGCCATCGCTGGCTGGCTGGCCCTGCGCGACCTCGGCCGCCTGAGCCTCGCCTGCCGCACCCTGCACGCTCTTCTCGCTCACGATGTACTTCCGCTAGCCCCGCCCCTTTCTTTGTCGTGCGTGTGTACCGTGCGGTGGCGCGTGTTGCGCGTGTGTCGCACCAGCGCTGGCTGACGTGGCGGGGTCGTGCTGGTGTGCGTCGACGTGCCATCAGAGCGTATGGCACAGGGCTGCGGAGCGCGAGTGGGGCATTCCGCGCTCGCTCGGCCTGCCGGAGCACCACCCCACCTGGCGCAGCCTGTGCGCTCGGCTCAGTACTACTCACTACTCGCTACTCGCTCACTCACTGGCACTCGACCCCGCCACACGAGTAACTCACCCGTCGTGGCTGTTGTTTGTCGGTCTACATCGCACACAACAGACCAGTGCAGGCGGGTGCCGCCGAGTCAGGCAGTGGCTCATGTAGACGGCGACGAGGACCCGATGACTGCGCTCGCGCAGTCCGGTCCCTATCGCGTCGACGATGCGATACACGCCATTACCACCATCACCTTCTGGGTACCACTCCCTCGTGTGTGTGTGTGTGTGTGTGTGTCGTTGCGCTCAGATTAACATGTGCGTGTCGTTGTGCGCCGTGTGTCGCAACAAGTTTATGATGGCCGACATCCGCGAGGTTGACGTCGGCAGGACCCTTCCGCTCGTGATGCTGCGCAGTGGCGACAAACAGCTGTGCATCGGCCTGCCCAGCCGCGCCCCCCACCTCATGATTGCGACCAACACCCTCGCTCCCGGTACGCGCCTCGTGTGTGTGTGTATGTGTGTGTGTGTGTGTGTGTGTGTGCAACGGCTAAGGGCCCTGTGCACAACACAGACGACGAGGTGAGCGACTCCGACTCTGACGAGATCTTCGCGAGACCCCGCAGGACCGCCACCAGGACGTGGGAGTTGAGGGTCGAGACCACGCAGGCCTTCCCCGTGCTCCGGTGGACGCACGTGACGGTCGAGATCGAGGGCTGGCCCGAGCCGTCACCCCACCTGAAGGCCGCCAGCCCAGCTTCGGACCAACCGCGCCCACGCTTTGCCATCCGGTTTGGCACCGAGGACCTGGGCACCGACCTCAGCGACCAGCGGTTTAACCCCTGGGTACGCCCCTTAGGTGCTCGTGTGTGACTGTCGTGTGCGGTGCGTGCGGAGCTGGCTTCTCACAACGAGTGGATGTCTGCATATGGCGCGCTGCAGGAATGGCGGAGGAGATCTCGGGTCTTTGTCGACGATTGCGAGGGCAGCACAAGGAAGAGCCTCATCCGGTTCGTCTCGCGCTTTTTCTCTTTCTTTCTCTTTCTCTTTTTAGGCGCGAAACACCCCATATTGACAGTCGCGTGTGTGTGTGCGGTGATGCGTGTGCGCGTTGGCGCGGCGGTGGCCATGGCTTGTCCAAGTGATGTGCGGATCTACGACGGTCGACTCCACCAGGAGGACATCGCTTTCCTATCGACGATCGTGCCACCGCTGCGTACGGCGCGCGGCTCGGCTCCTTGTGACCCTGTCTGTCACTCGTACGACTGACCTTTTTGTCGTGGTGTGCCGCCTTCTCGGTGTGTTTGCAGCCGAAAACATGGACGCGATCGAGGAGACCGTGATGACAGCCCTTCGAGAATCGGGTGCGTGCCCAGCCGCAACTATAATGGCCCAAAGCCAGTCTTGCTGCTGACACACACACACACACACACACACACAACCGGCACACGGAACCCGACACTCGCTTCACCAACAACAACGAACAGTGCGTCATTCGAGTGTGACATGCGACGGCTGTACGCATTCCTCCTCCTCCGCTTCTCTCGCTGTTGATCATCTGGCCATCTGAACCGCGCCCCTGTCGTCCGCGCAACAGGTGACGCTTGGCCGCTCGTCGGCCTGCGGTACAACTGCGCCGAGAGCTGCAACTTTGGTACCCCCCCAATCAATCAGCAAACATTTTCCTCCCACGTGCCGGAGTGAATTTGTAAATATTTCTTTCTTTCCAGACATATGCAAGGCCTGTTATGATGCGGGCATCAATCCCACCCGTACGTCGCCATTATTGTGTGTCCCATTGTGTGTCATGGCAGTCCGGACTTGTGCCACTGACGGTGTGCGCGGGGCCACAGACCTGCCGGTGTCGCCGCTGCACGAGCTGGACCACGGCTTCCGCGTGCTGCAGACCACCGGGTACTCCGTGCGGCCCTACCTCGTACGAACCACAACAGTGTCCCTCTCCCCTGTACTCCAAGGCCTTGCATTGACCGCCAGGCCAACAACACAACAGGTTCCACCGCCGCACACGCCAGAGAGCGCACCAACAGCAAAGAATACCAACAACAGCGTCTAAGAAGGTGAAACCTTTTCACTTTAATTACAGTGTTGTCATTAAGTGGCAATATCAGATTTCTCGTCAAACGATGATTGGGGAGCCCAAGTCGCTACTTTTTCTACATACCGCATACTCCGAACGCGGCGCACCGAAATCGGTCGCCTCACGGGTACATGTTGTGGGTTGTGCGGGGAAGTGAAACCGACCTTCTACTCCGCTACACTCGCACGACACTACGGAGACGAAGAAGATGGCCGTGTCCTTCTCGGTCCGGCCCACCGTCATCTTGTGCGCGGTCCAGAGTTGCGTTCTACTCTTCTTCTTCTTGCTTTGTGGGTGGCCCATCTGCGCCACCACTGCGCAGGACTGGCAGCTCATCGCCTGGGGGGCCGATCCTTCTACTACTCCGGTCGGCGACCACTTCGCCGACGTGTGGGCCGGCATGGAGCACCATTGCGCCCTCCGCAGCAATCACTCCTCCGTGTGCTGGGGCAACAACACCTTCAATCAAGTGAGCCCCTCGCCCGCGCTCGCGCCCTCGTCCGGCAACTACTTCGCCAGCTTCGGTCTGGGCGCGACCCACTCGTGTGCGGTCGTCGACAACGGCACGGTTCTCTGCTGGGGCGACGACACCTACGGCCAAGCGACGCCGCCCGCCGGACTCCAGTTCCGACTCGTCGTGTCGGGCCGCTTCTACTCGTGTGGCCTGCTCCGCGCCAACGGCTCTCTTGTGTGCTGGGGAGGCTACCTCCCGACTCCTCCGCCCGGGGACCCGCAGTTCGCTGGGCTCGCGCTCACCGTGGACCTAATCTGCGGTCTTCTGGCGAACGGCAGCGCTCTGTGCCTCAGCTCGGCCGCGACTGTGCCTGCAGGCCTGACGTTCCGGCAGGTGTGCGCCGGGGTCGGGTTCGCGTGCGGGGTGCTGATGAACAGCACGGCCGTGTGCTGGGGCGACCAGCAGGTGGTCGCACCGACCGATGACCTCTTCGCTTCGATTTCGTGCACCTGGTACCACGCGTGCGGTCTGCGCCCGAACAACACCATACGCTGCTGGAGCTCGCTGAACGGCACTCGGCCATACGTGAGCGGACCGAACAGCTATCCGCAGCTCACCTTTGCCCGCATCACGACGTCGTTCTCGACCACCACCGGTCTGCTATATGCTTCGCCGTCGCCGTCCAGCACTCCGTCGCCGTCCAGCACTCCGTCGCCGTCTAATACGCCGTCCAGCACTCCGTCAAGCACGCCATCGCCGTCCACGACGCCGTCGCCGTCCAGCACGCCATCGCCGTCTAATACGCCGTCGCCGTCTAATACGCCGTCCAGCACGCCGTCCAGCACGCCGTCAAGCACGCCGTCAAGCACGCCATCGCCGTCCAACACGCCGTCGCCGTCGCCCACGCCGGTGGGCCTCAGGGCGAATGCCACGGGTGACATGCCGCGACTGCACTTTGCCGTGACGCAACCGAAAGTGACCATCCAACCTGCAGGTAAGCGCTTCACTCTTCCCCAACCAACTGCTCTGCTTGTGTGTGTCGTGTGCCGTGTGTCGTGTGTGTCGTGTGTGTGTCGTGTGTCGTGTGTGTGTGTCGTGTGTGTCGTGTGTGTGTGTGTGTGTGTGTCGTGTGTGTGTGTGTAGTGTGTGTAGTGTGTGTGTGTGTGTGTCGTGTGTGTGTCGTGTGTGTGTGTGTGTGTGCGTGTGTGGGTTGCTCACCCTCGCGGATCGCGAGTCAGATCAAACGAGCCCGGTCCAAGTCAGCGTGGGGGTGGGGCGAGTGGCGGAGGTTGACGCCAACGCGACGTCGCTGCTCTCTGCGATCATTTGTCCGGGTAAAGTGGCTCCACCACCAACATCACTCTCTCAACCGTCACCGTCATCATCGATGAACCCAATCAGCTCACGTGCAAAGCCCACAAACAGGGAATTGGAGCGAGGTGAGCAACGACAGTGCTGGTGCAGCATTCGGAGCTAAGCAGTCGTTCGTCTTCGTGGCCGATCTGGTGTTCAACTCCACCTCGTCCTGCGCTGACCTTGGCGCAGCCGAGAGGCCCAGGGTGGAGTTGCAGTATTTTACCTTCGAGCGGAACAGCACCATTTCGTTGGGCAGCAACGCGACCGGATCGTACCAGCTCTCTTTCGACATCAGCCCTTCCTTCACCAAGTTCACCCTCCGCCTCTTCCACTGGCCCTGGCTTGGTGCCGACTCGAATCGAGTGGAGGTGGACATCAACATCTCTTCGCCCTTCGCCAGCTCCGTTCCATTGCCGGCCGCTGACGGCGACACGACGCTCGAGCTGCGCGGGCAAGCGCGGAGCGCCGACGGTCGTCCGTACTCCACGCAAGTGCGGCTGGTTCGAGCCGTCACGCTTGACGATGTCCTGGTGCTCGCCACCAATGACACCGATGACAGGGCCGCTGTGGAATTCGCGTTCGATGAGCAGCTGTCAAAGCTGGTGCTGTCTTTTGCCCGCTTCAACACCTCGCTTGAATATGACCCAGGTAACACACGACACTACGACACACATGGCACACGACCAACGACACGACACGCGACACGACCAACGACACGCACGCACCAACTACACGACGCGACGCGACGAACGACACGACACAGAACTAACCGTTACAATCACCAACAGACATCGGTGTGCTACTGGGAAGAAAGGACGACGGAGGCAGCGACAGCAATCTACCCATCATCGTGGGCACTGCGGTCGCGGTGCCAGTGGCCATTGGGCTGGTCCTGATGGTCATTGCGGTGGGCGTGGTGGTCCTCAAGTGGCGGAGCAAGCTTCGCGGGCGCAGGGAGGCCATCAACATCGACCAGCACGACTTGGCCGAACTGGACACCGAGCAGCTGTGATGCGTGGCATGTGTTCAAGAATTTCGTTACAATGTCCTGCACTCCGTCCCCTTGTTTATCATAGAGCTCGCGCTGGCCGAGGTCGCGCAGAAGGCGAAGGCGCTGGAGTCGCGGAAGACAACGCTGGAGTCATTGCGGTGGGCGTGGTGGTCCTCCAGTGGCTCGAGCAGGGAAGAAAAGATTGTTATCGTTATTTTTCTTATTTAGTGCCCATACCTCCGGGAACGAGATGGCGGCAGTGCAGAGAGCGCTCAAGGCGGCCAAGGAGGCCGAGGCTCGCTCCTACAATGAACGCCGCAGCCTTTCCAAGGTCTACGAGACACTCGGTGCGCTGCAACACTCGATTCCTCATTAATTGGGTAATTTAATCACCAAAAACATTAATCGAATTTTGCCGATTTGTATGTGGAAACAGATGCGGGGCTGCCTCAGCAGGCGTTGAAGTTGGTGGTGACCTACCTCAAGAAGCACCCGGAATCGCAAATGGCCAGGGTACTTCATTAATCTTTTCTTTGGTAAAATTCACATCATTAAATTGTGTTCCTACTCGGCACTTGGTGCGCCAGGCGATCAAGGCCCTCGTGCACAACGATCTCGCGCAGAAGGAGGTGCGTTTCATCTTGGAGGCCGTGACTAGTCCGTTTCTCCTGACCCCCAGTGAAAATGGCCGTATGCATCCATCCATACGTGCGTATGCAGGAAGCCTACGCCATCTGCCAGGAGGTGTTGGCCGAGTCGCCCAACGACGACGCAGTCATTCACCCGCTGCGGCTCACCCTCGTCCGCCTCGGTCGTGGTACGCGCCCTTCGGCCGCGCTCTCGCCGCCCCGGTGGCGAATGTAGTGATTCAATGCGATCGCTGATGGTCGACGGTCACTGCGCGGTGCGCACCAGGCTATGAGATGCGACGGCTCTACGAGCAGCTCGCGACGGCCGAGCCCCAGAACCGGAGGTTGGCGCGCCTCGTCTTCTTTGCGTGCGCCAAGGAGGGCGACTTCAAGAGCCAGCAGGCCGTACGCAAACACAACACCAACCATACACGACACGCACGACAAACATGCACACACGCACACACGATGCACGGCACACGGGCTAAATGCTACCTACTACTATTGGGTCCATTAATGCAGGCGGCGATGAAGCTCTACAAGCTGAAGGAGAAGGAGAAGTACTTCTACTGGTCCATCACCAGCAACTTCCTCCTCGCTGGCGGTCGTCCCTTTGTGCAAGACGGCGAAGTCCAGCGGTACGCACGACACAAACACACACACACGAAGCACGCACGACCGCACACGCAAGTCCTCACCGGCAATGATGACGACGGCAACGATGATGATATGGGTGGCAGGCTGGGCAAGACGGTGGCGGACGGGACCGCGGTGCAGCCGGCCACCGATGCGCGCATGCTCGCGCTGTCGGAGATGCTCCTCAAGAAGCGCTTCGGAGCCAAGGCGCCCGCCCAGCTGGGCGTCTTCCTGCTCTACCTCAGCATTCTTACCTCCCAGGTTCGTGTGCGTGCGTGTGTGTGTGTGTGTGTGTGTGTGTGTGTGTTGGTGCGTGAGTGCGTGAGTGCGTGCGTGCGATTACGTTCTTTGGGCGGAACGAGAACTCAATTCTTCGACTTGCACCACGCTTGCAGGGGAAGTACAAGGAAGCCGAGGAGTCCCTGCGAGCCGATAGCAGCTTCGCGTCGCTCTTCAAGGAGGAGCACGTGCGCCTCAAGTGCGCCACCCACCCACCCCACCCACCCACCCAGCCGCAGTTGATCGACGTTCATTGATTAGTCTCACCCACCTTTTTCCGGTCTTTTGAAGGTATCACGGGCGCGTGTGCGGCCAGCTGGGCATGTGGGACAACGTGCTGCAGATCTACAAGGGCCTCCTCGTGTCTCAGCAGTGCGTCGTCGAACTCTTGCGCGAACGCTTGGCGGTCTTACAATTGCCTCACACGACACGACACGCACGACACGACACGACACACGACGGCAGGCCGGACGATTGGGGCTACGCCAAGAACTACCTCAATGCGCTGTTCAACCTGCGCACCACGGAGAGCGCCGACCAGAGCGCCGCGCGGCTCGAGGAGGCCCTCGCCTTCTTCCGCCAGCTGCAGAGCGATAACCCCAGGCTGTACGCACCTGACCTGTTTATTATTATTGGCAGTTTTTTAATTACTTCGTTTCAGGCGCGGACCATTTTTGAGCGAAGTTGAGCTGGAGCACCGCCTGCTGGAGGACAAAGGTTTGCGCCTTGTCAACGCCCGCGTTCGCCACGATTGCAATGTGGTGTGGAATTGCATTCACGGGCTGACACTTTGCTTTTGTTTTGTTTCTTAAATTAATTTATGTTTGCAGTCAAGACGGATGATGCCCACCTGAAGGCGCTGCTGGTGGCCTACTTCAAGCGATTCGGCAGCAAGCCCGTCTGCTACTACGATATTGGCCGGTGAGTCAGTCTCCACCCCTGCGCGTAGTGCTGTATGCTGACGTCACGCACACGCACCACCGCACACGCACCACCGCACACGCACCACCGCACACGCTCCACCGCACACGCACGGGCAGGTACATTGTGGCGCTGGAGGGCGGCCGCGAGGAGGCGCAGCAGGAGGCCTTCATCGATCTCCTTCGCGCTACCGTCGAGTCGCTGCCTGCCGACGCATCGCCTGTATGACTCCTGTTCACGCGTGTCGTTGTGTCGTGTGTCACGTGTGTGTGTTGCGTGTTGCGTGTCTGCGCTCACGCCAGAGTTCACGCAACAGGAGGCGAAGGAGCGGTGGTACACGGCGCAGGCGACGATTGAGAAGTTCCGCAGGCGGCTGGGCCTCCATTCGCGCCTCTCGCTCGAGGGCATCGTCGCCCTGGCCAAGCAGCTCTGGGAGCTCTACCTCGCCTCTGCCGCCAGCGCCACCAAAAAGGAGGCACGTCGCTCTTCATTCCGTCACACGACACACGCACCAACCGCACACGCACACACCGACCGCACACGCACACATGCTGACGTGGACAGCGTTGTTTAGGAGACGGAGATCGGGCCGGGCGAGGACTTGGCGCTGCTGGCGGGGCACCTCATGCTGGACGCCTACCGCCAGGGCGGCGACGTGGGCTACGTCGTGGCCGGCGCAGCCATCCTCGAGGCCTGCCTCCGGGGCAGCAAGTACAACTTCCAGGCCAAGGTCCTCCTCATCCAGTTCTACCGCCTCCTCGGTGCGTCGCGTGTGCGGTGTCGTGCGGTGTGTGCGGTGCTGCGTGTGCGGTTGCGCTCATGTTTGTGAGTGTGTGCGGTGGCGGCAGATGCGGCGACGGCGGCGCATGATCTGTACACGTCGCTGGAGGTGAAGTACATCCAGCACGACACGGTGTCGCACCTCATCATGGACATCCTCATCACCCACGGCCTCACCAGCGAGGCCCTCAAGGTGTGCTCCAACATCCGCCACTTCCACGAGGTCAAGACTCGAGAGGTACACACCGCCACTTCACACACACACAACACACACACACACGCCACCGCACGCACGCATGCACCACCGCACACGCGCAATCGCAGCCTTATTGGTCGGGGCGTGCGTGCGATAGATTGCGGATTGGCTGTCGCAGCCGTACAAGTCGGAGAACTACCACAAGGTGACGGAGATGATGGAGTTCGGCGACCAGCTCCGACGATCCCAGCAGCTGGCCGTCACCCGCACCGAGGAGCTCCACCTTTTGGTACGCACGCACTCACGCATTTCTTCACATTCCTATCATTTCTCTCCTTTCTTACATTTTTGGGGCGGAATGTGTGGCAGTTGGGCACGCAAGCCGACACGCGTGCGCTGCTTCCGGTGACGGCCTCGCGATTCGTGGTGGGCGTGCCGCCCCATGCCGAGGCCCTCGTCACCGACGAGCAGGCCGCCGCCGAGCTCTCCCACAACCAGGACCCCGTCATCGTCGAATGGGACCCGCCCAGCACCGCACACCCCGTACCGCATTCCCTCTCACTCACTGGAATGCAACACACGCGTTTCTGGAATGTGCGCGTGTAGAATGTGTAGAATGCTCACTCGTAATGGTGGTGCGCCGCAGGCGAGCGATGGGCTCGCGTCGAGCGCGGACATGGGCAGTGGCCGCAGCTCGGTGGACGAGCAGAAGCGGTGGCTGCGCGTGCGGAGCCTGGTGGCCAAGGCCCTCCACCGCCTCGTGGCCCTCGCCCACGCCTCCGCCCCTGCCCCCGAAGCCGCCCCCGCCCAGGTATTTTCCCTTTACCCTCCCCCCCCCCATTGGCCTCTATTTTCCGTGTGTGTGCGGTCATTGACGCACCACACACACACACACACACACACACACACACACACACACACAACACGCACAACACGCACTATCGCACACGCAGCCTGCGCCTCAAAAGGGCAAGGGCAAGGCTCCAGAGCCGCCCAAGCCGGCTGTTGTCGCGGCCCCGGTGGACAAGCCCGCCCTCCTCGCTAGCGCCGTACCAACCTCTCCTTCCTTTCCGGGAGACTGTCTATTCGTTTCGATTGACACGTGTGTCGTGTCGTGTCGTGTCGTTTTGTGCGTGCGTGTCGTGTGTCGATGTGAACAGAGGGACGCGCTGCGGCAGTTGGGAGAGCTGCTGCCGGTGGTGTTGTCGTTGGAGGGCACGGCGGCGTTTTCGCTCGAGGCCGAAGACGCGGCGGTCGACCTCAACGGCGCCAAGACCGACGTGCGCGCGTGGCAGCTCGTCTGGCGCGTCTTCCGCACCTTTGCCGTCGTCGCCCAGCTCGTCGTCTCCGTCGCCGGTACGCGAACCACCGCAACGCCACCACGTACGCGCCACTCATGACACGCACACGCACACGCACACAGAGAACAAGGTGGAGGAACAGACGATGCACGAGGCGATCAAGCGTCTGCAGGCGCTGCCCGCCCAATTCGAGGGTACACACGGCCACGTCTGCCGGCACCTTAACATGATGACGTGGCATGTGGTGCTGACCCGGCGTGACGTGGCACCTCCGTAGGCGTGGCGCAGCACGTGCTGGGCGAGCTGGAGCCGGCTGGGACCCAGGCCGGCGGGTTCAACGGGGCGGCCCTGCGCGAGGCCTGCTTCGTGGTGGTCCAGCTCTCGGCGTGGACCGCCGCTCTCTTCCAGGCCTGGTCGGCCGCCTTCCCCGCCAAGCAGCGCCGAAAGAACCACCCTGCCAACTCTGTAATGCTTCCCCCCGCGCGCGCGTGTCGTGCGCGTGTGCGGTGCTGACGGCACGAACGTGCGCGTGTGTGCGGTGGCGCGTGCGTGCGATTGCAGGTGCAGGAGGCGAAGGCGCCGTTGACGGAGGGCGCGGCGGCGATCGCGCGCAGCCTGGAGTCGGTCGGGGCGCTCCTCAAGAAGCGCCTGGGCGACGCCGCCACGCTCAAGCCCGCCCTCCCGAGCTCCACTCTTGCCGATCTCTCCACCGCCTTCCACCAGAAGGTTCGACTCCTCTCGCGTGTGCGGTCGTGCGTGTGTCGTGCGTGTGCGGTCGTGCGTGTGCGGTGTCTTGCGATGCGGCTGACGATTGGATGTAACTGGGGAGCAGGAGGTGACTGAGTGCACGGCGGAGGTGCAGAAGAAGGTGACGCAGAGCTGGCAGGAGTCGCTCAAGAGCCTGACGGCCCTCGCGCAGCAGCGCGTGACCACCCTCCAGCAGGCCGCCAAATGCTGAGCATCCCACTAAACGGCTTTTCGATCGAAAAATCGACTCCACACTGTTTCCTTTCTTGTTTGGTTTGTGGGACAACAAGTTTGAGGAATTCCAGGCATTCTCAAGAACGAAGAAGGTGCGCCCTAGCTTGGCCTGGGCCTCGCCTTCTTCGTTGTATAAATAATAAAATTGATTTGTCGGGGGGGGGGTTGGGTTAGACCAGATCGGCCTTGCTGGTGGTGTCCGCCGAGCCGCGAATGAACCCGACCCCCGAAGTCCCCGTGCTCTTGGTCTGCAGTGGGCCACGACGTGGCACAAAGTCAACAACGCGAGAAAACGAACGCACACGCACGGCACGACACACACAACACACGCCACACATAACACATACGGCACACATAACACATACGGCACACGCACGCACACGACACACCACGCGTGAAGGTCGAACGTACGCGTCGGTGTGTGGGTCTGACCGCGACGGCGGCCGGCTCGATCGCGTCCTCCAAGTTTTGAGATCTTCTGCGAAGGGCTGCACGATGTATTGTGTTATATAATATACATATACATATACATATACATATACATATACATATACATATACATATACATATACATATACATATACATATACATATTATAGGATTGTGAAGGAAATGTAGAATGTAGGAGGTATATGTACCCTTTTCCTTTTTCTTGATGAGCTTGATGCTCTCGGTGGCCTTCTTCTTGGCCTCCTTGACCGTCGCCTTCTTGGTCTTGCCCAGGTTGTCGGTGTGGATGGCGTCCGCCACCGAGAAGCCCCGCAACGCCGCCATAAAGTCCTCCACGCTCTCCGGCTAAGATCACCACCAAAACATTAGACTTAATGATCAACTTTTTTTCCAACCAACCACAATCAACCAATTTTAACCAACCAATGAATGAATGGGTGGTACGCACCGCGAAACCGGCGTCTTCGGCGCGGAGGACGGTTTGCTCGACCTCGAGGAGGCCGCGGAGGGCGCCGCGCAGGCTGGCCGGGCTGCTGCAGGGCGAGACCAGGTCGGGCTCGTTGAGCCGGTAGTGATTGACCACCTGGTCCAGGTACGCCCGCATCAAATGGTCCATCAGCCCTGCACACGTGTGTGTGTGTGTGTGCGGTGGTGTGTGTTGTGTGTGTGTGTGTGTGCGGTGGTGTGTTGTGTGTGTGTGTGTGTGTGTGCGGTGGTGTGTGTTGTGTGTGTGTGTGTGTGCGGTGGTGTGTGTTGTGTGTGTGTGTGTGTGCGGTGGTGTGTGTGTTGTGTGTGCGTGTGTGTGTGTGTGTGTGTGGTCGGTGTGTGCGGTGGTGCGTGTGTGCGGTGAAGAGAGGAGAGTCAGCGACAGAGAGAATGAAGTGGGCCAATCAAAATAATGTAATGTACCCCGCTTGGTCCGCCTTATGGCGCCGACTCCGCCTCGGTTGAGCTCCCGCACCTCACGCGCCACGCCCTCTCCCTGGAAACGCGACACAACACGCGCCGTCAGCCACGAGTGTCGTGTCGTGTCATGCGTGTGCGGTGCGTGTCGTGTCGTGTCGTGGCATGTGGAAAGAATGCACACCTGGATGAGGAGGCCGTCCTGCGAGACGAAGATGCGTCGGCCGCAGTGGGCGTATCCCTTGCGCGGGAGCGAGGGCACGACGTCGTTGTTGTGGGTGACCCGGTAGAAGCCCGTGCTGGGCGCGTGTCGCTTCAGCTCGTACACGAACTCGTCGTTGCCCACCTTCGGCTGCCCGAACGTGTACACCCCTGCGTCCCCTCCCAATCAGCCGTGAAACACACCGCACACGCACACGCCCCACCGCACACGCACGACACACGCGCCACCGCACATGCACTATCGCACACACGCGTACCGGCGACGGCAATGGGTACGAAGGGCATCGGCTGCAGGTGAGAGGCGGCGACGGCGCTCGAGGCGGTGACGAGGCTGGTGATGTCGCACGTGGTGGCCTCGCAGGTGGTGGCCTCGCCCATGGCCGCCACCACCGCCGCTGCAGCCGGCAGCGGCGGCGACAACGGCGGCTTGGTGGGCACCACCGGGGCGCTCGTGGAGTGCCACCCGTCCGCGTGGACCGAGGAGGTAGTGGGCTCGGCCGACGACGACGGCGTCGATGATGACGTGGCAGCCACGTCGGTGATCGAAGGCGCTGCCGTCGCCTCCGCGGTCGGTTCGGCCGCCGCAGCACTGGGCAGCGCTGAGTCGTCGGTCGTGGCCGAGGCTGCGGCGGCGTCGGTGGCGGCAGTGGAGTCGGCGGCGGCGGCGGCGGCGGCGGCGGTCGGACGGGCGGGCATGAGGAGGGAGAGGTCGCACGCGGTGTGGCCCCGCTTCAGGACCCGCTGCTCGACGAACGACTGCCTTTGCTTCGCGTTCGCCAACGTTGAGCCCTTGTTGGCCTCGCCGTCTGCCTGACCGGCCGACTTGCGCGGCGAGGTGGGCAGCTGGGCCTTGGACGCCGCCTTGGCCGCCTTGGTGGCCTTCTTCTTCTGCTGCTCCTCCTCCTTCTGCTTCTCCTTGAGCTCCTTGCGGGCCTTCTTGGCCCGCTTCTCGTTCTCCTTGGCGCTCAGCAGCGGGTCGCTGTGCGGGTGGTGCTTGGGCCGCGACGATGACGCGATGCTGACGTGGGCTGACGTGGCAGCAGGCGGCGCGCCGGTCGTGCGCTTGACCGGGGCCGACAGCGACAGCCCGTCGTCGCCGTCGCTGACGTCATCATCGCCGTCGTCGTCACTGAGGACCATGTTGGGCACGGACTGCGAGTGGTGCGGAAGCTGCGGGCGGAGCTCGTCGTCGCCGACGCTGCCCCTGGGAGTGGAGCTGACGTCATCATTGTCGGAATCCGAGGAATTCGAGTCTGGCGCGGCTTCCTTGGCTTTGCCGCCGCCGCGCGAAATGAGGCTTCGGAACCGGCCGGCCTTTCGCTCGCCGGCGCCGCCCACGATGGCGCTGCCGCCCGTCGACTCCTTCACCGCAGTCTTCTCCTCTTTCTTCTGAACCATATCCATGTCGCTTGCCGCGCGCTGCGTTCGTGTGCGGTGGTGCATGTGCGTGTGCGTGTGCGTGTGCGGTCGTGTGTGTGTGCGGCAGTGGTGAGTGCGGGCACAAGTAAGCGTAGGTTGAGGGGGGAGGAGGTACGAGGTTGGCCTTGGACTTCTTGCGATCCTTCTTGGTGGGGGGCTTGTACAAGGGGCAGGTCGCCATGCAGCTGGGCATGGACAGGTAGGCCAGCAGCATGTTGGCCAGCGCACCACCCAGCGAATGACCGCCCAAATACCTGCACACGACACACACGACACACAACATGACACGACACGACACGACACGACACGCACGACGCCTTAAGTTGTCGATTGACAGAGAACACGAAGAGAAGTGATGGCCTGCGTACAGGGGAAGGGTGGGGTTGTTGGCGCGGGCCTTGAGGATGAAGCGGCGGACGTCCTCGAACACCGACATCAGGGCCGAGTTGAAGCCGTTGTGCACCTTCACCCCCTTCAGCGTCGGAAACGGCTCCGTCTGCGTGTTGTGCGCGTGCGCCATGCGTGTGTCATGTGTCGTGCGTGTCGTGCGTGCCGTGCGGTGAGCGACTGGACGTGAGGTAAAAAACAAATGTTGGGTGCGGAGGGCGGTACCGGGCAGTAGTCGAGGTTGGTGAGCCAGTTCTGCTTGCCCACGGTTCCGCGGAAGCTGACGATGATGGCCTGGTGGTTGTACATCCCGAACCCCTGCGTGTCCGTCTCCACATCCTCGAAGAACTCCGCCTCGTCCCACCCTGCACCGCACTCGGCAATCAATTGAATGACACACACGACACGACACGACACGACACGACATGACACGACACACACGACACGACACACCACCGCACGACACGACACGCACGACACGCACACGGCATGCAACGTACGCCAGATGCGGGTGACGACGTGCTTGATCTGGGCGGAGGAGCGGTAGGCGAGGGCGGCGGCCATGGCCAGCCACAGGCAGTGCGTGGGGTTGTAGGCCCGCATCGTCGGGTCCGCGGAACCGGGCGCCGGCTCCATCGCCGCGCGCACCGCGTTCGGGCAGTCCGAGTCAAACGGCGGAAGTCCGTCCCTGTTGGCGCGCGCGTGTCGTGTCACGCGTGTGCGGCCGTGCGTGTCGTGTCAAGTGAAGTTGTGAGCGTCGTGTCATGCGTGTCATGTCGTGTCGTGTCGCGCGATGCATACAGCGAGTAGGTGATGCCGGCCCACTCGACCCGCTCGTCGCTCCAGTGTTCGGCGTCGTCGCTGTTGTTGTCGACGTCAGCCGTAGTGGCGGCAGCGGAGGTGGTGTTGCTCCCCTTGGTGGGCAGCATGCGCGCCAAAGTGCGCCGCTTGCCGGCGGAGGCGGCGGGCGGGCTGTCGGACGAGGCGCGAACGGACTTGAGCGGCGGCATGATGCCCGAAGACGACGACGGCAGCGGTCTTGGCGAAGTTGGCGGCGACGAAGGTGCGACGGTGGAGGCGTCGCTGGCCGAGCGGCGCAGGGATGAGGTCGGGGCGGTGGCCTGGGGCGACGTCACGGCGGCGGTGCGAGGAGGCGGAGCCGCCGCTGCGGTGGGCGACGGGTTGGCCGTGGCGGGCGGTGCCGGCAGCGTCTGGGCACGCTCGCGTGTTTGCATTTATTACTCAAACCTGTGGTGGTTCACATTTTTTTTAATTAATGTTTTTTCTTGTGCCTTAAATTTATTCCTTACATTTAAAAAACAATAGATAAGAATACCTCAGAACGAAAGCCAAAAAGTAAATAACAATATTATTATCATCACAATATTTTGTGGGTGCAAGGGAGAAGGAGGGGGCTACGTACGGGGTTGGTCTGACCTGTGGCCTGGTGCGACTTTCTCGTTTTTGGAGCCGTGCGATGAATTATGGAGTTGCGCGACTGGTCCCACGTCGACCGCCACCTTACTATTTTCTCAACTGTTGTTGCGGTGCTGGTGTGGTGCAGTCCCGG